ATACAGTGCACTGTACGATAAAAAATTTCAGAGTTACTGTTTCCCTAACGTGGACTGATGAGGTGAATTCAGGTAAAAGCTATTATCTTTTATTGATGTCTGTTATTAAATCCAGACCAATCACAGTTGGAGGAGATAAAGAAAAAGAAAGACAGACAAACTAGAAATTGAGTTTAATCTTTAAGAGAGAGATAAGGAATGTGCGTCAGAGATCTTTATATTATTTTAATCTTTCTGTGTTTCTTAAAGAGTAGTTTACTGATTTGCCGTTGCACTCCTATTACATGCAGGGGAAAATTGTCTCTTTTTTTTTTTCCTTACCCAGGATACAACTTGGCCATCAACACAGTGTAAATGTTGTGATACTAGTGATAAGTGTAGCCTATAGTGATGAAGGAAGGGCTACAAGAGATCTTATATGCACTTTTTTCTAATTCAACATTAACTTTTAAGTTTTTTTAATATGAGTTTTCAGCCGTAACCATCACAGACTCATGTGACATTGTGCTAGCACTCCAAATCATTGTGTGTGTGTGTGTCTATTTGTGGATTTTATACCCTGTGAGCTTCCCTTTATCATTGCATTGACAGCTAGAATGGCACGTTAGCATGAAAGCCAGCTATGTTGTGTGTTATGTTAACACAACACGTGTGTGTGAGTCCATCATGTGAGTCCAGCATTAAAGAGCTCCATACAAGTTCTGTGTCCTATGCAGTCTGTGAACAGAATCTGCTGTGAACAATCAGTGCATTTTCTCTTTAACTGAGTAGCTGAAGTGTTTAAAAGTGCAGGAGAGGTTTCAGACAAACTTCTTCATCGTTTTTTTTGTTAACCTCTGTGTTATGTTCCTTGTAAGTGATGCATTTTACCCATCGTTCCCATTCTAGAGGTTCTTTTGGGTAATGTAGACTTTGACAGGAATGTCGGTTGGGGCAGGAGCACAGGTCCTCTATATCCCACAAACTTTAAATTAACAGAGATCATCTCAAACATTTGCTTTTGAGTCTGACTGAAAGTAAACACACGAGGTATTCCCATGGAAATCTTTTCAGAAAAGTATTTTGTAGAGTACTTTGAGAGAATCCTGCCCCTTGCCCTGACACATCGTTCTGGACATAGTGTAGCATTGAAATCGCGCCAGAGCACGAGTCTCCGCTTTCTAAACACTTCAACTGAAATGATCTCAAACTACAGGCAGTGCCATGGGACTACTTTCTGTTTCTCTTTGAGATGGATTCTGTTTTGTTCTGGAAAGCTATAGGCGGCTACATGACCTCGTCTGCCTTTCCCAAATCTCTGCAACAGAGGTGGTGAGTAGAATTTTGTCATGAGCAGTAGTTAAAAGGGACACAAATATTGTTGATGCATCCAGGTTGCCAAAGTAATGGAGCCAGTCTATCTCCTACGCTGTTGCAAACCCACGAACACACACAAATACTGACTCTGTCGCTTCGGTTTACATATGATCTGTCATCAGTCCTGAGATCCTGACTGGTGAGACAAGAGTTCACATCAGGCTGTCTAAGCTCCTGCAGCCTATCCCTCTTAGTATCACCTGAGTCTGAGATAAATCTCACTTATAACTACCCTCTCATTCTGCCAACACATCTAAACACTCTCTGATCACTTTCAACTGTGTCCTAATGGGGAAGCAAGCCATGCCATTACATCATTACACCCTCCCCCACCTCCCTTGTCTGTCCAGTCACTCTCTCTGTCACTCTCTTTGCTCTTGCTGTCTGTTTCTGTCTCTCCGTTCCCTTCGTTAATTGTGCCCTACACCATCAGACCTGCTCGTGCTGTGACCAGATTCACCTCCAGTGGTGTATTATTAGGACACTGGCCACCTGGGCTATCTCTTTCCCCAGGGAGGTGCATCAGGGATGACCCACTGCTGGGTGTGGGTGGCCCCTTTTCGCCTGGCCTTGATGGCCCACTGCTGAGCAGGGCAGGCTAGTTGGATGTGGCAGGACTACATTGTGCAAGCTGGGAGTATGAGGTATGGCCATAGGCCCAGTCTGGGAAGCACTGATCCACGCTACCAGCTGCCATCTTCCTCCCCTTCCTGCATGCTCCCCTTCCGCTGCTGCGCGGCTTCTCTCTCTTCTCATGTCTATTTTTAGAGCTGGCTGATTTCTACCTTCTAAAACGGGAAAATGTGTTGTGGAACAGGAAGGTGTGTTTTTTTTGTTGTTGTTGTCTTGGACATACTACTGTGCGCTGTGCACATGCTTCACACACCCCTTCTGATCCCCGTTCATGCCACCGCACACTGTACATTCCTGTACACACATGCACTCCCCATTTGCATTCGGCTTCTCTCTGTTCTCGCTCCCAAGGGAGACTGTTGATTGAAGGTTTCGGTTCGAAACCAAAAAATGAAATAGCAAACAACAGCGCAGCCTTTTCTGAATGCAGCATTTTTATATCGACACAGCGTGTACTACTGTGGAACTGTGGTCTGATTTCATCTTTCTGCTTAGCTAAGCTTAGATCTTCCTCACCTCTCCCTCATCATTAGCTATCCCCCTCTGCAACGGACCGCCTCACCCCCCTCAACCCTCCTTACTCCATCATCCTCAACTGCAAGCTGCGGCTCCATAGTAGCTATCATAAAGAGAAACTACAAAGAAACTATTGAAGCTCCTAACACAGCACTAGTGACAGTAGCATCTTTGTTGAAATGCTGGAAGCCCATCATGTTGAAAGAAGCCAACATGCTGGCCTGTTTGGCTGAGGAGAAACGATGCTGCATTCCCAGCGAACAAGAGCGATAAATAGAAAGAAAAAAACACATTCCTGTGGAGATGGAGAGACAAAAAAACTACTGTATACCAATGCAAGCAGGGGAAGCTACAGTATGCCTCAACATCAAAACCCCCAAAAGTACATTCCATAGTTTTTAGGAACTCACTGTAGCACTCATAGGGGAGCGAAGGAGGGTGGGTTATTTTGCATCTTCCGCAGTATGTCTCAAGTCTTATTAAGGATGAGCAGCTCTGCGCACTGGGTGATGCAGTCTTTTTTCAGTGCCCTGACTTTCCCTTCACTTGTGGGATTGCTGAATGACTGAGTGAATGTAAATGTACACCAATTAGATAAGAAACCGGCTTTTCTGTAAAGCTGCCAAATCCAGGGGCAAGAGGAAGAGGGGAAAAAAAAGTGCTGCTTGTCTGAAAATAAATGATCTGTATACTAATAACCCTCAGCCACCACCCAGCTTGTGTGTCCAAAAGAAAGAGTTAAAGAGTTGGAGGAGATGCAGTGGCCTTGATTCCTCGCTGAAGTGTGTACACATGGATTAACGCTCAGAGGAAGATAATACAGTAGATGATCTGCGATTCTTCACCCAAACAGCAGATTTTCTGTTAGATACATGTATAAACACAGATTGTGACATGCAGAGAAAGCACCGTAAAGATGTTTCAAATGAGACTCAAACCTACTCTGCTTTCTCATTATAAAGGACTTTGAGTCAGACATCCGTCGCTTCTTAAGTAAACTTTCATCTCACAGCTTCTTCACTCTCTAAATCCCCTGTCCCCAGCAGGGTGCCTGGTTCTATCCCCGCAGCCACAGATGACCTGAGAAGAACCTAAACTTTCCACTATAAAGACCCCGTCCAACGCAAAAGTGCTGACTAAGACCAGACTCCTTCCTGTCCAACCCTCCATCCTGCTCCCTCTCTCTCTCTCATCCACCCTGGATCCATGGGATGGAGCGTTGCTGGCCAACCCTTGTGAGGAAGGAACCATTAAGGAGCCCATCAATATTTCATCATCGCTCACTCAGAAACATAGTTATAGAAGTTTCCAGGCTGAGGCCATTAGGGGGCAGACGTCAATACGTTATGGCAGCGAGCATCTCTCTTCACTACCCCTCCCACCCCCCCTTCTCTCTTTCCCTTGCCTCTGTCCGTCTCCCCTCTCAAGAGGAGTCATTGGAGAAGCTTTCTCAAGACGACAGTGGTTTCCGCTACTTCTACATTAAACAAATCATTAACCATTAGGTATCCAAGGAGCACAATATCCTTTCCTGGTCCTGTCAGATGACCCCAAGTACTTTTATCAGTCTCAGTAAAGAGGAAGCGAGCGAGACATGGGTGGAGGGTTGTTTGTAAAATCTGACTGAAGGTAACAAATCTCCACTCACAAACAGCTAATTAACAACCAGACATGATTGCATAATGTGATGTGGGCAGCCCTATACACTGTACAACTTTAACTCATGGCTGTTGAGGTGGGTCTAGCACCTTTGGTACTGGCCAACTCAGAGAGTGGACGGGGTGGCTACAGTATCAGGAGGAGGAACTTCCTGTCTGTAACACACAAATCTTTCAACAGGAGAGGCAGTGTGAAGCTTAATTGCAGTCTTTTTAGGATTACAATGATTTTATAACCCCTTCTTTCAAATTATCACACCTACATTAGCTGGGATGGGCTCTAGCCTGCAGGCTAAAGTGTGTTAAATATTGCTGTACCAGACATTTTAATGAGTTTTCCTGCAGCTCACCCTTCACTGTCCTTGGAAGTAAAAAGGTCCCGCTATATGCATTTTACCAGAGGAAATGTGAGGTCCTCCAGAAGCGCAAATCAAACCGGAACCCAGGGATGCCAAGTCCATACTAATGTAAACAACACCTCCAGACCTCTCTGAGGGGGCGAGGACCCTGCCAAGTCATTACACTTCCTCTCTTTTAGATCCCTATAGCTTTTCTAGTGTGAATCCTGCTCTGACTTTAATTAGACCATCTTATCTGTGTCTCATTACTTTTCACATTGTCACCACAGCTTAACTGCATAACTCTATGATCATAACCCCAAAATATACCCTGTTATTTTTTACATTTTTACGCTCTAATTTAACTGCGTTTAAATAAAAGTGTTCTGCAGGTGTGGAGCATGTTTGCAACTCTTTACACTTTAAACATGTTTCTCTATTTTTAAAAGTTAATAATAAAAGTATAAATGGTGCTTTGCAAGACCCGACATGAACTCACCAGAGTGCAGAACCTCTCCGGCGGGTTTCCACACGTGATTCCGGGCGGATCCACCTTGATGCGCATGTAGTCTTTCATGGACGCGGTCTTCGGCTGGCACGCGTATTGCTCCCACACTGAGCCCTCATCCGTGCTCACCAGGGACTTGCACAGTTCGTACTGGCCACGAGTGGAGGCCAAGCAGTGCAGCAGCAGCAGCAGCAACGCGGCCTGGAGGAGCATGGCAGGCTGGGGGGTCGTTTGGAGCGGGGTCCGGCGCAGGGTGAGGGGGCCACGGAGCTCAGGGGAGAGGTGACGCGCATGGAGTGGTGATTATAAGGAAATGGTGGACATCCCTATACCACCATACTGCTGCACTGTGAATGGAGAGGCGCAGGTAAATCGACACAACTCGCCTCCAGACTAATAAATTCCCTAAATGACAGGAGGACACTGTATCGGCAACTTTCCCTCAGTGTCTCTTCATAAATATCGACGGCCTCCAGAGAGGGACACTTTGTTGATTTGAAGACTGGCTTCCCGAGGAGGAGTGGCGGCGGATGGAGAGGCGGATAATGTTACAGAGATTAATCTTGGCATACGCTTTAACCATAGTGTTGCAGGGAGTTGAGTGGGAGATGTCAACGCTGATCCATGGATCAGAGAGCGGTGTCCTGCGGGCAAACGTTGCCGGTGCTGGTCGGGCAGGAGGAAGGAGAGGTCGCTGCGTCTTCAGGTATATCCATTGGACGCTTTAGGCTGGCCGAGCTCCTGTGATTGTCCTGGGGCTAAATGGGGACAAATGTGAGAGAAGCAGGGAGTTAGTGCGGTGCGTAATAAACCATCCATTCATCAAATAACCTTAGTCTTCCTGTAAATGGAAGAATATACCTGTCATATTTTTCACGGCTCAATTTGAGATTAATTTTATCCTGCGTGGTATTTTCCCCCTTTTTGCATAAATAAAAGTTTAATGCCAGTCTTTGAAATATACATGCGCATGGGTGGGTCGCTTTCTTAACTCTTTCCCTGCGCAGTTGGGTAAATTGCGCTTATTAAACATAACGTGAGCCACAAGCAGAACATAAAAGTGAATGTGTGACAGTTGCTTTAAAAGACGACACGTTCAGTTAAAACCAACATCAGTCCTACGGTGTAATCTTTTGACATTTAAAGTGCAGAGTTGAACTTTAAAGACGCACTAAAAGCGCAGCGCCGTGTGGATAACCTTGTGCGTAAAAACACGTGCTTTTGCCGGGTGTGTGCAGGAGTTGTAACAGCTCCTGTAGCTCTGGCGCTGCTGGAGATGGAGGCTCCAGATGTTTTTATAATAACTGCACAGGAAGAAAAAGGCACCCCAAAGATACGTTTAACAGACAGTTACTTAAAACTTGATAGTGTGCATAAAATAATGAATGTTTCAAGAATTAAACATAAAGTAGCTTGCCCGGATTCACTTCTGCACACTGTCTTTCATTTAATTACAAACTTTAAGCAAAATACAAACTGCAGTGAAAATGCGATCTCGCCAGATTTATCCACTTTGTGATTATAAATCGATTTAAACTGAATATATTACTACATGCATAAATATGGGTGACATTTTTGTGCAGCGTGGATCCATTGATCATAATCATCCCTGCTCTGGAACTGAAGCCAGGTCCTTGCGCAACCTGTCCCACACCATACACCCTGCATACGTGGACTCCTCACTTACTTCAGCTGTCAAAGTGAAGTCGCCAAAAGCTGTTCACCGGCTCTGACAGTCTTACAGGGGTGTGTCAGCCCCCCCCCCCCCCCACCCCACCTCGCAGTATCACTCACAGAAGATGTATTATATATTCACACATTACAGGGGAAACTGTGTAAATACAGCTGGAAGTGCTCGGATCACGCTTCTGCTCCGGATATTGTACATGGAACTTTAGGGGGCTTCTGCACACATGCACGGATCAGATAAAGCACTTACTTCTCACATGCATCCGTGAGGCAGCTCAGCACTTTGTGTGGTGATGGAGCCTCCGTGCTCGTCCTCCCTCTCCCCCCCTCTCTCTCTCCCTCTCTCTCTCTCTCTGCTCAGAAAGATCCTCTCCCGACCGTCCAGTAAATACTCATCCCCCGCCGCGGTCCTCACTGTTACTCCCGTTGTCCGCCTCCCTGCCCCGGCTCGCTGCTTGTTGTTTTTCAGCCGGATACTTTTCTCTCTTTCTTCTTCTTCTTCTTCTTCTTCTTTTATCTCTATCGCAGCGTGGATGGCTGCGCAGATCGCTGTCCTAGATCTTGAGGCGGCGGGTGAAGAAGAGGAGTGAAATCCAGCGTCCAGGAGTAGGAAAAGTATAAAATATTGACTTTGAGGAAAACGCGCCCTCCTCTGCCCCCTCTCTCCTCCTACTGTCCCGACTTCACCAGCTCGGGTTTACCCGGGATGCTCAAGGGCAGAAAGAAAGAGGGAATAAAGAGGCTTTATGGAAAATATCACCCTCCCTTCTCCTCCTCCTCTTCCTCCCTCGCTCTCTTTCTCTCTATCTCTCTCCCTCCCTATCTCTCTCCCTATCTCCCTCCCTCTCTCCCTCCCTCTCTCCCTGTTAATGCCGAGGCTAAATCCTTTTACCATCACTTTCAATCACTATCTGAGCTTTTATCTGCTCCATGTCCTGCTGCCTGCCTGGACCGGGGCGGTGCAACTTCCCTGCTCCGGCTCCGGTTCCAAACTGTTCCCTGCCAGGTCCGCTCTGCAGCCCGCTCGGCTTTTAAAGGACCAGCAAGGGATTAAAAAAAGAAGAAGCTGGGACCCGGTGTTATTACACTCTCGACCTTAATATGTCCAGATGTGTAATTAAATAAATGACATAGAAAATAAAGTGGTGTTCAGCTGGTTTTCAGGGAGTTTATATTAAAACACCCAAAATCCTGTATTACTATATTGGGATTTGTTGTGTTTGTGGTGTAGTATCCTATTTTATTGTAGAATCACCTCGAAATGTCTTCTAACATTGCATGGATGATATTATCATGTCCTCAGCCTGTGAAGTATACAAATGTAATTCTCCGTAGGATTACTATGCAGGATTATGAGTGGATCTGAACTTTCAGTTTAATTATAGCCCATAGTTCACATTTACTCAGGGTCAGTGCAGTGCTGTGTAATGCTGCAGTGGTGCTGCCCATGGCCCTGAATCTTTAACTCTCCATACAGAGGTCGCCACATCTCAGTTGCTGCCAAACTAGAGGTCAGAAGGAGGGTCGCAAGATGATTAAGATGTCAGAAACAATAAAAAAAACAATTTCAAAAAACATTTTTTAAGATTAATTGTCGCAAAAACTAAAAAACACTATTTTCTTTGTGTCTATGTGATCCCTGAGGTGACTAGCGACAGCATAAATGGCAGCAGGTCAGTTTACAGCACCACAGGAAATATTGCAATATGTGCACGTAGGTGAATTATTTGAGAACTTGCTCAAATCGATATTCTTTGGGATAATGGGAGTCGCTAGTCTGGTCATGGTCTTGCTCATGTAAAACTCCCAATTAGGTCAGTTTTACCATTTTGTTATCCAACTCTATCAAGGGGTCAGTGTGTATATATAATCTTTAAAAATATAATAAAATGAAAACTATGTTTTGAAGTTCCAATCTTATATCCTTGTGTCAAATACTAATTTATCTCTTATGCTAAAAAAAACAAAACAATTTTTTAAATGTATCTTTTCATCCCTCTCTTTTGTTAACCTGTAACATTATAAGTTAATAACTCATCTTGAAGGCGAGGTGTATACAAATTGTATCCAATCAAGTGTGGCTTGGGATGACAAGGCAATTGTTGGCGAGTGGGTGGCTAGCAGAGTAATATCGCAGATACGAGTTTGGATTTCAGCTAACAAAAAAAAAAAGTTACTTCATCAATTCAACCCATATTGTCAGTTTAACTTCAGGAACTGAGTCCAGCTTAGTTTGTTTATGTGTTGCATTATATATCCTGTTGTTCTTGGACAGAGCTTTCTTCATTTTCTTGAACAGAAAAGTCTAAAGAGTTTTTGCTGACCTCCAGTGGTTCGGTGTCTAATCTTGCTGCCTTGTCCCACAAGTTTAGACCACTCCACAATGAGTCAGTGCACCACAGCATCACATTTGGGGGTGTGGTTGGATGCAATTAAGCGCACTTACCTAACCTCAGCTGACCCGTCAGTCATGCTGGGTGTTGTCAGTGGTGAAACGGGTCCTCAAGCTTGCAAACTGAGAGTTTGACATTTTGCTTTACAACCTGGTATCAACTCTTTATTTTTTATCTTTATTGTCTCTTGCGAAGTAGCCTAACTCAATATGAAATCATTGTATTTACTGTATCTTTTTATTTACACTTGAATCTCATGATAATTTCTCTTATTTGGGCCTCAATCTTGAAGAAAAAACACTCGGAAGTTGTTACAAACTGTATACAAGATGTAACTGATGAGAAGTAAGTCATAAGTACATTTTTTGTTATTTTAGTTGGTTATTTAGATATTTGGTTGATACCCATCACAACTTCTCACTGTGGCAGCTTTAAGACTAAAAGTAACAATTATTTAAAAAATTGATCAATATACTGATCATTTTTCGAAGAATAAAACACTGCTTATTCTACTTTCTTGTTTTGAGCGACGGTTAGTTGCTCACCTGGTTGAGCCCCCCCCCCCAAAAAAAATTTAATTATAATTTATGACATGCTTTTATTTGAAACATGAAATCAGTTTCCAGTTAATTTTCTGTCAGTTGACTAACTGATTTACCTCTTGCTTATATGAGGTGAGAGATTAATTAATGGTGCTGTGGACCTGCTTCCACATCCTCAAGAACACCCCCCCAGACACACACACACACACACACACACTCCTATTTTTGGAAACCACTGAAGTGACTAACACCATTGTACCACCAACACGGGAACAGATGTCTATAATCAGCTCATAGTGAGTGGGGACTCTGTAATTCACACTTCAGAGGTGAATGACAACCATCTTGGCTCAGATAATTCACACCTCTGGTCTGGGTTTATAGCAACAGAAGAACAAAGAGGCCAAAAGACAAGTGGGGCATAGAGAGAGCGAAAGAGAGAGATGTACGATTTAGAGGAAATTATGAACCTCTGTATGAAACAGTGGCGGTGCACCCAGGAAAGGATCGATAGTTTGTCCTTGCAGGGCCTTCCCTCTCATTTCGCATTTGTGGGACAAGACTTAACCCTTTTTGTACTTCCGAGGCCTCTGAGACGAGGGGACCCCCTTTGTTTCCACACCACCGTGAGTGGGGCCATACTGAAAGACAAATTTCCCCCTCAGATATCAACAGCGTATCACAAATACAACATTCACTGCTATCACAGACTTTGATATAGAATAACACAGGCCTTTAATCAGCACTGCACTGGAACAGAGGGGGGGGAAATGGGCCTGCTAATGTGTCACACGGCGTCTGAGGCAAAGATAAAACAAACGACACAGCTTTTGTCAGAGGTTGAGAACCTTTCTAAAATATTAATAAGAATAAGAATTTGATTTTCAGATTTCACTTTCTCCATCAAACTGTCCTGTTCTCTCGTCTTCCTCTCACTTGTTCAGTGCGAGCGATTTAAGGCAGATTTAAATCCTCAGTGATGGTCAGAGAGTGTGTGCAGCGCTCAAAACGTGACTTACTGTGATTAAGCTCCAAACATTTATTTCACAAATGGGTGAGGATTACACGTGTAGGCAGGGAGACTGATTTTATTTTGTTCAGCCTCTGTCATTTACTCTTCTGTGTCTCACGATCGTATTTAGCCAACTACACATTCTTGACGACATCAAACATGATTTTACTCTTCACTGAATTCACCTGAATTTGCATCAATAACTCGATAGAAATGTCAACTCTCAACATGATGAATGAGTGATATTATATTTTGGAATTCAATTATGTCTTCATAAATAAGAGCATCAATAACAACAGAACAGCCTGGCTTAATAGACTTGTATTCACTACAGTAAGTGGCACCACAGGCCAGTGCTGTTTTCATTTCCTGCAACAGTGTTAGTGATTTGACCATGCTGCGTTCAGTGGCAGTGTAAAATTAGTCATTGTGCTTTTGAAAAAATTACATCATTCTGAATTGGCTACATGTGAATATTATATAACTTCTGTGATGTCTTTAGCAGTTTATATAGAAACTTGCTCTGTGAATCACTCGACTCCCTGGGGAGAGCTCACTGAATCTGAAAAGTTGTGTAAAATGAGTTGTGTCAGTAAGTGGCAAAAATCGACGTCAATTTTTTTCCTTTTCCTCGTGGAGACTCTCCATCTTCCTCTACAGCCTCCCTCTCTTTCAGTCTCTCTGTGTTTGTATTTTTGCAGAGGATAGAACTGTCAGAGTAGCTTCGCTGGCAGACCTTGATAAAAAATATACCCTTCATCGTGGCAGCCTGCAGAGTTTGGACAAGATTCAGGACAGGCCTCATCCTCCCCTCTCTCCCCCTCGCTCTGTCTCTCTATTTGCCAAAAGGATGATGCAAAAGTCAACCTGTGTGGGAGTCACGCTCCCGCATAAATCAGTTGGGAACTTTGGAAATGCCCCAGACAACTTTATGTATGATCAAATGTAATTCACATCCATCCATGGTGACGAGCTCTGACGAAGCATGCACACAGACAGACACACACAGACAGACACACACACACACACACACACACAGGCTGATGTCTCTAAAAACACCTGACTCATTTATTCTGTGTTTACGTACAAAAAGAGAAGCATCTCTTTCAAGCAATGTAACCGTCACTGCACACATGCTTCCACATCCACTAGAGGGCAGGGCAGAGTCCAGGGTTTGTGAAAACATCAAATATTGCGACATTGGAGGAGATTGATCATTTACATTTCAAAGAAGGAAAAAGTAGCCACGTTGTAAAAGTTGGTGGTCGAACTCGCAAAGTCTCTCCTCAAAGAGTTTTGCCCTCTGTTAAAAAAATGTGCCCCATTCCTTGCTTGAACTTTTGGCTACACTCCCCCCCCCGCACAATTTACTGTGGTACTGCTGCAGTCCATCTGTTTGATCCATATCCTTTAGCTTTCAGAAGACTTGCACAAATTCTGACAAAATGAATGCAGAGTAGATATTGTGAATGTGGCTGCCATTAGCTCAAACGACCTTACTGTATATCCACTACATGATGGACATATTTAAAGGGTAATTCCATCATATATACACATCACAATCAGTTTTCACATCCTGGGGAGCACTGCTGTGTATAAATCCTTTTGTTGCTCTAGAAGGAGCTGCATGAAGTCTGATAAATTTCCTCCTGGGATGTCACTGACTTAAGACTTCAAGTTTAAAAAGTGAAATCTGGGTTGTGGAGTTACACTCGATTTGTACTTAAGGCGCTACAGCATACCTGTACAGCTGTTGTGTGTAAAAGGTTTGAGGTTACACTATGAGCTTTGGAATGCGATTCCTTAAAAATACAAATAAACATCTGTCCTACAATGGAGATACAATAAGGGAACAGCAATAACTAGA